TACTCAACAACAGTGAAATGAACCAACTGCCCCCAAAGTAATAAGTCACTGTCAGTGCTTTCACTCTGGATTTTTATATAGAATGAGCTAACTGCTTATTTTCAAACCCAGGTGCCTGAAAGTATGTCCTTCAGTCCACAGGTTTTATTTGGAGAGGTGTTAAACTCTTACTAGTCTCATTGACATTTCTGTTAACATTGAGAGTAAAGCAGAGTTTTCACAGGAATTAGGTAGGCACGTATGAGAAAGCATCCTAGAGCAGAGATTATTGTTGGCATTGGCCAGCAATACATGAAATGCTGCAAACTGTATTCTTTAAGAGTTAGAAAGGGTGATTAGAAAGTGGACAGAAATAAATTAATATGTAATTCTAAAATAACTTGTGAGCTCTCTATCCCTAGTCTGGACCATTTTATTCTCTGTTAAAGGATTATAAAACAAAGAGGAGCTGACTGCTCCACTTTGGGTAAGGATGTCTTCTGCTTTTGTCAAGGGAGGCACCATTTTTAAGGGACTTTTCTCACATCTGTGGAGATGATGCCACAGCACACAGAGATGGCCTGTTTCTGAGGCAGCACAGTGACACGGGACAGAGGGGCTTTCATAATTAGTTAGAATATAAAAGGTAATTTAAAGATTCAAAGATTGTTTCACCTCGAGTGTGCTGCCTAGAAATGAAGGATGGCATGTCACTGAAAAAAACAGTTTTTCATAAAGCCAACATGTAATCAGTTTCACAGTCAACACAGTCTCAATATATTGTATTTTATGTGCTTTATTGCTCTTTTTCTTTGCAACAAATCTCAAAGAAACAAGGTTTGCAAGAGAGCTGTGGGAGGAGCTTGGAGATAACAGGGCTCAAGAAACACTCTGTGAGAATGAGATGGTCTGATTTCTTGACAGGAAAGCTTAGGCACGTCACTGGGGTGGGGAAGGGGGAGCTTCCATGTAGCATGTGAGCTTGGGGTAAGGAAGTACACCCCACATACACCTGGTATGCCAGTGACAGTCTTCTTTTTGCCTGTCCTCTTTATTGCTATCAGAAGTACAGTGTTCCCAGCAAGTTCAGACTCTTTCTTAGGTGGCCTCTGTTGAGGCTGTAACTACTTGTATGCTTACTGACTGCTTTCTTGCAAGCTGTTCTCTTCATTTTTGCACAGCTTCATATTCGCTGTCTCGGTACAGTCTCTATTATTTAGCTGAAATCAACTTCTAAAACCTGTAATTTCCTTTTTAAAATATTTACAAACTCCTTTGGTAAACATGATGTATTTTTCAGCTTAACATGATATCTCCACGTTCTAATTTAAAGCTGAAAAGAGCTATAAAACCCATAAAGAACAAATTGCTGTGATATGAATATTTAATAGTAACAATCTACAAAAATGGACTTTACTGTTGAACTATTTAAATGGATCTCCTGGACATGTAAGAAAAATATTAGATTTGATGGTCCACTTACTGATACATTACTTGGAGATAAACGCACAAGACTTTTAGCTGACTAGCTTCGAATTGCCATCTTCTTGCATTTTGCTGGCATGTTTTTACCCTTTAGTCATTAAACTAATTGTTGTCTCCTTGTCCCACAGTATTACTAGAACATAAGAACTCCAGAAACACACCAACTCACACTTCCTGAGATATTGTTGAAAGCTAGTGTACAGACTAAAGCAGAAGTATATGCAAATATAGGCCATTAGCCTAGTAAGAAACACTCAGTTCTTTGGAAGCACCAGGCTTCAATTCTGGTATGTGCGTGATCACAAAATATTGGATCCCGCTCATTGTAGCTCATTAGCTCAAGTTTACAAGCACTAGGGCACTTGCAGCTTTCAGCGTCATGCGAGGGATAAGTACCAGGGTTAAATGAGGACTCAGTCAAGTAGGCTATTAGTAATGTCAGACATATGTTATACGCTTCATCATCACAGTGCTTTCTTATTTGTGCTGCAGTAACAGATAATCAAATCATAGAATAGTTTAAGTTCGAAGGGACCTCCAAAGGTCATCTAGTCCCCACCCCCACCCTGCAATGAACAGGGACATCAGACATTGTACTGGATCACACTAAAAGTTCTTTTCGTCCAGACTCGTTTTCAAAGGCTGTTATGCTGTCACCAGGCAAGTGTCATTAACATCAAAATCAGTAATAAACTAAAACCCCATCATAGACCAGGGCCCACTGACAGGACAAGCGTCAAAAGACAACTCTTTAACTGAGGAACTTAAAGTCTAAATAAATAAAAAGTCACCCTTAACTTGGAAATAAATGAAACTGTTAGAAAGTGCCTGTTCATCACAAGCAAGAAAGGACAGTGCTCCCCAGTTAAGTGTAGGAGGATATTGCACCTTACATTGGCCCTAAGCACACATAGGTCACTGCTAACTGTTGTCCCGTGTGTGTTGTCCCTGTTGATCAGGGCAGCTGGAGTCAGAAACCACTAGAAAGCAGAAAACAAGCAAGATTATGTTTACGAGGAATAAGTCATAGAAGTTAAACTACAAACATAGAAGTTTATAGTTATTTTTCATTGTTAGATTTGTGTTGCTTCTCGGTCAAAACACAAACAAGTACTTTGGCTTTTTTTCTGCCACCCCAAATTCCTTGCAGCTCGTGGGGAGCATTCATAGTTCTGCTTGCCCAAAACGTCACAGTGCCCACCCTAGAGACTCAGCTTTTTGCTATCCATTCTCCAGCATATGAATTCTGAACTTACTTGTTACCGTGATGCCGGAATTCTTAACCTATGGAGAAGATACATCCCTTTGAGCTGAGTGGGATACCCATGGCATCTCAGTATGTGTCTTGCCCCATCAGGTGCTATATATCACGTTTGGCAGGGGCTGGGGGGGAGGTGTGTGTTTGTTTTGTTGTGGTTTTAGTTTTGTTTTGGGGTTTTGTGGGGGTGTTTTGTTTTGTTTTTTTTTTAAAAACCTAGCTCAACTAGTACATGCATTTTCATAGGAAGCCCTACAAATGTGTAACTTGTATTCCAAGAGACTTTTCAAAATTCAAGTGACCTGTTTTATCCTGATAAAAGACCTCTCTCAACTTTATATTACTTTAGAAGGTAAAGATTGCTACTATTAATGAAACAAAGTATTTTAAAAAAAAAAAATCTATTTGAATACTAATTGCACTGAGTACCTTCTGATAAAATGTCTTAATTTTTCCTTCTTCTCTGCTGTGTGTGAATATATACCATAATATTTTAGACCTTTATTTTGTATCTCACCCTAGCAAAAAAACAACTTTCCAGTACAGCTGAAGTTGACTATATCCATAATTTGAGGACAAAGTGTATAAGTATTCCTAATTACTTCCAAAGTAAGTTTGATGTACCTGTGAAAATTAAGAAAACAAAAAGATCAAACATATTGAGATGTGAAAATAAATCACCAATTACCTTAATACTGCTTTGTAGTGTTACCGAACAAGAAACTACAGAATTCAGACTAGATCTTTTTAATGTTTCCAGTCCCGGATTAGAATAAATCTAATGTAAAGATTTTCCTTTTTCCTTCTGGTGCTTCTTAATTTCTCCAGAGGAGCTTGCTTTTCAATAAAAGTGTGTCAAGTATTTGAGTTAAATAATGTAAAAGTAGGATGCTTTTTTTTTAAAAAAAAAAAGTCTTGAAGGTAAAAAGCTTTCAAATAAAAAAATTCCTTCTTTTGCTGCAAATTTCAGCATTTCCTGAAAGAGGCATTGCTGAGACAAATAATTTGCAGAAGCATGTTGAATTCTTCCATTTAATTTAGTATAATGGAGAAGAAATTTGAATGTCAAAACCTGCTTCCACAATAAAAGGCTTAGCATCCCCATCCAGATTGTCTGGAGATAGATGTAGACACTTGGTGCTTATTATGATCCTTCAGGTAGCAGTCGGTTATTCAGTGCACTGCTATCCCTTGGATGCACTGACCTTCTCACCTATTGTTCAAAGACGCATACAAAATGGCCTTCCATGAAAAACTGAAATGATACATTCAAAACACTGCTGAGCAGGGAAATACAGCTTTAGAAAAGAACCAGAACAACACTGCAAAACAAATACATGAGTACTTTAAAAAGACCTACTCTATTACTAGTACCAAGACTAAGATTTGGCTGCAAGTTTATTACCTCAATGCATTTGGGAGACAGCCTTCTAGTGAGTTTTTCCAGCATCTATTTGGCATTATGACTTGAAATTACTCTATGGGTGTTCCTCCATAGCATCTCAGAACAAACTACTTCGGATCACCAAGGCTTTTGCACTGTCTCTGCACTTCACTGTGAGCTGATAAATAACTAAAACTAATTTCATATACCCAGCAACACACAGCACAAATCTTGAATTTCACCAGCTACACTAAAACTGCATTCCGTCCTCCAGCTATTTTAAATCAAATTGGTTATGAGAGAGAATTATGGGAAATTAAATCCAGCTACAACCCTAGGAACACCACAAAAAAGGCATTTTATTAAATTTGAGGTTGTGATAACCTGTTTGCTTCACTGTGGTCGGTGTATTTAAAAACATATAAGGGAGAAGAAACATAAAAGCTAGTACTAACTATGTGAAAGTTGTAGAGTGAACTGGTTCTATGGGCCTAATTCCGCTTATATGGGCATATGTAAGGGGTGACTCAGCAACGGCTCAGAGGTGATATATCAGATTTTACCAGTGCAAAAGCTGGTCTGAAAAAAAATGAAGAATGTGCCAGCAAGAAGTAGGTAGTCTACTGCATACTGTTTGAATGCATTTTTAACAAGTGTGGATGCACAACAGTTCTGACAGCAGCTTCAAAGAAGCGACTCCATAAAGCTACACAAGTAATACATGCATCTTACAACTTCAGATAAGAGGCGCTGATAACGACCCTAGAACTGTTTACTGTTAGAGCTCACTTTTAGCTAGATAATATCTGTAAATTGAACCCCGCAAGCTGTAAACAGCAGAATGTTCAAAGATTAAAGGGAAGCATCACTGATAGTCCTCTGCCTTGCTTACAGATGAACTCCTGAAAGAAACGCCTTTCCCACTAAATTCCACTTCTGTTATGGAGCCATTTTCCTTCCAAGGCTGGTTAAATGATCATCGTGGGGAAATAAAACAGAAGAAATCCTTGAGTATGTTTGGAGATAACTTTGAAACAGAGGTAGGAGGGGTCTAATTTCTCTGAAAGACGGGGTTGTTTTTAAAGGTACAGATAATAGGTGCCAACTGTTCAGACTGGGTGAATCCAGCAATATGTAATCAGCAGAGAAAATTATGCACCCCTACAGAACAACTCCATCTTAGCCAGCCCTGCCCTTGGGAAGCACCTGTCCTCATCCATTGATTTGACCAGCGCAGACAGGAGCTTCCTAGCTCAGATACTTCCATTTGCCCAGTCAATCTGAACCTTATTTCCATTAATTTCCTTTAGGATTTAAACAGCTCATTCTCTCCACTCTCCTATCAATCCACATTTCCTAAATGAGAAAAACCAGCTCGATGGAAATACTAGTCACAAGTGTGGCTTCCCTATATGTTTGAACAGCATTTTTGGTGCCAAATCTAATCTGGGTGTGTAAATACACTTTTTTCCTCCCCCTTCAAATCTCAATTGTGAAAACAAGGAGAACTGGGCAGCACCAGAGAGCCTGGGCCGTGCTAAAGCATTGTCCTACTCAGCTTAGTCAAACACAGTCTAGTTTGGGTGTAAATGAAGCTGTCACTATTTGATATCTGTGCTGTGTGCATGGTAGTTTACAAAACATTCTTTCCCTGGGTTACTTGGAGTTGCACTCTGAAGAATCCAATACATTTGACAGCAAAGTGACAGAGTGTGAGGCTGTCAGGAAGAACACAGAAAGGGCAGATAATGAGAAAAATAAGGTCCAATCTGCAGCTTTTCTAATGTTAATGGAGGAATCTTTTCTACTTCAACAGGCTCTTGACAGGGCCCAGAGTTCATGAGGAGGAAGTGCCTGTTCCAAGAACAGAAGCAGGAAGGATATAGATGCAAAGCTGAGAGTGGGAGGAGGCAGAAGGAATAGATAAGTGAGGATGCAGAGGAGCATAAGGAGTGGCAGGTGTGATCAGTTCCCGTTTTATCAGTAGGAATCAATATGAGAATACCAAACGTAATGTGAATTTTAATGTCTGTAAAAATAACATCAGCTTCCATGAATATTTTTCTGTAAAAATAGAATGTTTTTAATACTGTAGGAAGATGAATATGTACACTTTGGTCACTGGGATGAAGCTGTTCCTTTTCTTCTGTTTATTTCCCCCCCCCTTTTTTTTTTTTTTTTTTTTAAAGGTTATAGCTTATGGACCAGGAACAACTGAGAAAAGTAAAAAGAATTCAGATATCTGGATATGGCAGCTGGTATGTAGCAATTCACACTTGTTAGCCAATGAGTGCATGTTTCAGTTCAGACTGAACAGTAGTAAAGCCTTCTAGCACCAGCAACAGAAATTAAAATTATTATATTCCCTCTCATCAACAGGCACCCCCCTTCAGCTTTAAACTATCATGAAAAATAACTGTAAACTACTGCCACCATAGAAATAGTCTGTTTTTCCTCATGTTGTGTGTTGATGACAGAGATTCTGGCATTGTCCATGTCTTGGTGGGGGATTTTAATATACCCTACCTAGGGTATATCCTGTAAGTACATCAGAATGCCTCCAAGTGATAAAAAGCATCACCTATTACTTCTGCCTTGAAGCATTTCTCCTCCTACTGAAGTCAAGCTGGAATCAGGTAGAATGAGCTAATAAAAAAGTCTAACTGAGAACTTGTTTATACTAAAGCACAGTGGTAGGTAATCCAGATGCCCTTCATTCAGCTGGCTTCTAGGAAACATTTGCAGCCCAAGGGAATAAACAGAGAAAAGCTAGTTTTCATTTACACAAATCAGGGAGGCAGATATTTCTATCACTTCCTGTTCTGTTGAAATTCACAAGGACTATGAAATACTAATTAAAGACATAATAATCTCGAAAGACATTTGTTAACACTGCAGCTTACAGCAGCCTATGCAATCAAGACCTCGTCACTGCCAGGATCCTGACTTCACTGCTTGACAAGATCCTGACAAGTCCATTCCAGTGTGGATGGACTCCTGTTAGCGATTTCTGTCAGCTCCCTGCTGACTCATGAACTGCTTTTCAAGACTTAAAAAGATACTAGGAATCGGAAAAGTAGAAGAGGAGCCTGAAGTACTCCAGGAAGTTATCTCTAATTTCCAGAGCTGTACCAACTGGCAGCTTGCTAGGTTAGACTGGTAGCAGTGTGCCCCCAAGAGTGAAGCAATGGGGTGCTGCTTTACAATGGGGAACAATGAACAATGAAACATGTTTTTATTGATGTAATAGTGTTCAAGAGGGAAGGTGAGCTGAATGTTTAGCTAGACCTCAAGAAACAGCAGATTTGAAGTGCTCTTTCAGTAGGAAAGATTTCCATACTTACCTGCGGCATTTTCTTCTGCTACTGACAGGCCATGGAAAATTAAGAACTGGTTATCTGTTCTCTCCCTTCAGGAGGGCGCATCGACTGTGACCATGGATGGTAAAACCCTGACTCTATCTGCTGGTGACAGCCTGCTTGTCCGAGCCCAGACTACGTGAGTAGAGAACAACAGTGGTTCAATGCGTGATTACCCAGTTTCCAACAACATAAATTCTGTGTATTCACCCCCTAGTCTAGGGATCAGCTGGTGCAGAAGCATACATCTGTGAATGCAGGATTTGCAATAGCCTCCATTATTTCGCAGAGCAGAAGTCTCTTCAGGAGGAAACAAAGGCAGACACTCATTCTAGTTCAGCTCTTACTATTGAAGCTGGGGAAAATAAAAAAACAAGCACTACCAAGAAAAAGCAGCCAGCAACTGACCATGCATAAAGGTAGACAGCACAAATACACCAGTTGGCAATCACAGCAGATCCTCTATGCTTCAGACCAGGCTTCATCAACATCAATGGAGCAAGGTTTGGGGTTCAGATTACGAACACAGCTCTCTTCCTGGGGTAGGATGCATGTGGCTGTTTCATAATCTTGATGACAGGAGTTATTTGTAAAGGAAAAAAAACAAAATAACCAAAAAAAACCCAACAGTGAAAAGTTTCCAGAAAGAATGGAAAGTACTTGCCAAGTCTTGAAGCATGGCATAAGCTGATAAAAGTGCCCACCATGAGGAAGATGTATACTCATTGGTAATGCAATGCAACAGATTATAAGCAGATGATAAAGCCAACCTTCTTTCCTACAGGAAAAATCTAATAAACAGTAGCACTGACAGCACTCTTGTACACCTTTCATCCAGCACCGAAAACATTTCCTGAAAGAGCTGAAACCATGCAGCTGTGCACAGAACCGTTCTCTGCACCCGATCCAAACACGTAGCCACCTCCCCCTTTCACCATTACTTCTACTGCTTATGTGAAATCACTTAAATTAATTCCCAGTCCTGCAGTCTAATCAATGAGCATGTGTTTTCAAAACCATGACATGATGCACATGCAGAGATCTACCAGCACAGTTCATATTGGATTAAGACATTTATGAGATCTGTACAGCAGGCACCTTTTATTGCATGCATCACTATTGCACAGGGATTGATCTCTGGCCATCTCTGCAACTGGCACAGAAACAGCTAATACAGAAGTGATGACCACAAGAAAAATTCTATTGAACACAAAGATACTTATTTCATTAAAATAATATCTGTACCGAGGTGATTCTGTTTCAGTCCTCACATCAGTGAAATCAGATTAGATGCCTTCCCCCTGGGCTCATCTATAAGTAGATATAAGTTCTTCCCCACCGTGTCATGATGTTTGGGTTATATTAGAGACAGTGAAGAGTAATTACCTGAAATATCACAAGATATACCAATATGGAAAGAGAACAAGTGTAATCAAAACCGAACTTGTTTGTTGTCCCCTACTTTTCAGTAGAATCAATGTCTTTAGTTGTTGGTTTGAGTCTGTGGTTCCCCCACACACACATCAGATCATATCTCTTTCTATTTTTTCAGGTACTGCTGGAAGAGAGCAGAAGATTGCATTGCTATTTGCATTGCTCAGGACCCAAAACGCAAGCAGCCTTATACCTAGCTCCTGTGCCCACTGACTTTGATGATAACAAAGTTTTAACCTATTTGCATTCTCTTAATGATCTTTTAGTTGCAACGCCTGGAAATTTGAGTAGTCTAACACAATGATTACACTAAATTAAGTGGAGTCAAGTGCTGTGCCAAATTAAAACTTCCCCCCCCCAAGTAGTTAAAGTTTCAGCAAAATCTACAATCAGTAATTTAAAAAAAAAAAAAAAACCACAACAGAACAATAGTTCTTATTTGAAAGAAAATTAAACCAGGTTCAAGTAAAAGGATTGTTTATATAATATGTATACTACTTAGAATAAGTTAATGCTTATGTAGAACAACATCCAGAATAATCAACAGCTCTTTACCCATCAAGATGCACCATGAGCCATGGAAATTTCACAATAAAAATTAAGGCATCTCTCTCCCAGCTTTAGTGACTTAAGGATTTAAAATAAAGGTTACACTCAAACTGTATTTGTGCCAAAGTCCTTTTATCAAAAATTGTGCTTGAACCTCTGAATTCTACCCAAGCCCTGTTCTAGGTGCCTCAAATCTGAGCAAGAACCAGACCAGAAGTATTAAGCATCATCTGTGATTCTACCACTGCCAGAGCTCAGAAACCAGGGCTGAGCAGGTCATCAGGTAACTTCTGTTGAGGAGCCACTGTCATCTAAAGATTAGTCAAGAGGTGTCCAGTCCCAAAAATATGCCTGAGAACTAGGATCAAACCAGCATGAGAAGATTTATGAAAAGACCTAGATACCAAGTACTGGGGGAAATTTGCATTATAGTATCTCTTTTGAGAATTATTTCAGTTGTTGTGTTTCTCCCTCTGCCTCCCTGCCCCAATTTAATAATTATTTGTTAGCCAGAGGACAAACGAGAGCACAAAGAGAGAACTTGTCAGGTACTCCTTCCATGGTGCTTAACCATTGTGATTTAGAAACCTGCAACTTCCTTTTTCCAACTCTTCAAATAGTTCCAGGGGGCTCCTATCAGTAAGCAAATCTTTTCCAGGTGCTTTATTCATCCTCTGTATTATATATATTGTAAACTGTCCCAACAATGGTACTTTTACAATTAGATGCACCCATGCTCCTCTGCCCACGCAGAAGTTGGCCAGATGCAAGTTTGGTTCCTGGAGTCCTTTTAGCTGTTTCTGTGTACGTGTGGTCAGCTCAGTACATACTTTTGCACCAGAGTTATTTGGATCACAGTCTGGGGACTCCAATACCAATCTTCCCTCATAAAGAAGGATTTCAGACTCAAGTCAGTGGCAGAGGCGTAGTTAGGCCTGTTGTTGACAAAGCGCCCTCATGCACTCCTGTTGACAAGGTGCTTGTTCATGCATGTCCATGGCAACGCATCAGCACAAAACCACATCCTGTGCATATACAGGACTTTTTCTTTGCAGTTCTTTCTATACAAGGTGTACCTGCACCCTGATTTGGGCACCCATTTTCCATCTGAATCATACAGATATTGTATCACCTCTTACTTAATAAACTTATTACATTTTGGCAGGATTGTGCTAACATTATTATAGACTTGCCTAGACAGTCCATCCGTTGCTCGCCTTCTCCAAGACTCAAAAGCAAAGCCTTTATAAAAATATATATTCTAAGCAGTATTTCAGTAAAGCCTACACAGACCAGAAGCCATACCTGCACCATGCTTCCTAAATGAATTATTACCTTAAATATGTGCAGGATTGTCCAGAATCACAAGCTGGAGCTGAACTGATAGCTTTGAAACACACACAAAGGAGTTTGAGTCTACCTACAGGCATCCAGAGTCTCACCTATCTTGCAGGTCAGCAGGAGCTTTCCCCTTCACTTCAAATAGGAAAAGTTGATGCAGCCCAATCCCACCAGCTCTTGAGTAAGGTATCAGGAGTGGCTATCATTGTTCAGTGCCTTTAAAATGTTTAATCTCAGTGAGAAGACTGGTAAGTTCAGTGAAGAGAAAGATAAAACACTCCTTTTTAACTATTGATGTATATAAGATCTTATCAATGCTTATAAATACTTAAACGGTGGGTGTCAGGAGGATGGGCCCAGTCTTTTTTCAGCAGTGGCGAGTGACAGGACAAGAGGTAACGGGCACAGACTGGAACATAGGAAGTTCCACCTAAACATGAGCAGGAATGTCTTTACTTTGAAGGTGGCAGAGCACTGGACTGGGCTGCCCAGAGAGGTGGTGGAGTCTCTTGTCTCTGGAGACGTTCAAAAGCCACCTGGACAACATCCTTTGCAACCTACTCCAGATAAACCTGCTCTGGCAGGGGGGTTGGACTAGATGATCTCCAGAGGTCCCTTCCAACCCCATATCATTCTGTGATGTATTTTGGCTTCTATTATTATATCATTTAAATGGTATAATGAGCGATATAAGCATTATTATAGTACTTCTAATTGAGCCAGTAATTTATATCTTACAGTCTTTCACTTCATTTAAATTAGCAATATAGATAAAAAATATTTAAATTATTTAATGTCTCCTATTGCCACTAGGCTAGGCAGGTCTGACCAGATAGGGTACTTATGTTCTTATTTTGAGCTATGCTGATTTACATGAATTATGGGAATAAATTGATAGTGTCTATATTCCTCCTTATTAAGAGCTGAAATATGAGAAAATAACAAAAATATGTTGATTAGCAAGGTTACATTATAAAACAGCACCAGTTCAAAACTGAAGCAATCATAATACTAAAAAAAAAAAAGATAAATAAGCCTGGTGCAGTAAATAAAGCTTAATCTTCACCAGCTGTTTCTACAATACTGAAATAAGACCTATAAAAAGCAACTTTATGCAAAACACATGTTTGTGGTTCCAAGAGAACTAGAAAAGGAAAACAATGACCCTCACAGATCATGGAGTAAACATATCACATGTCAACCGCAGAGCTCAAGATTATACAATTATTTATATATTTTTTTTTTAAATAACACAGAACAGTAAGGCACAATAATGATCAATGCTAACTACATTTCATTTTGCAGTACATAAACTGACAGCTTGGAAAAGTCAAGAGAGGAACTCTTCTTCCTCCATGCTTGCTTTATTTTTAGATCTTGCTTGTTCCTTTGAAGTAACAAACCCTACCAGAGGCAGAAAACTAGACTAGGTGGATCAGTAAACTAGTAGAATCAGGTGTGTTATAATAAACTCTTTCCTCAAACCCACACAGCATTTACTCACATCTGTAAACCAATCTTATCTTGTTGCATGAAGATAATAAAAGCTTTCATTCTGTTGTTAAAAGCAGTCATTGTACTCTGATTTCAGCTCTTCAGCCGCATTTATTTTATAGAACAGATGCACCAAAAGCAACCCTCCCACCATCATTGCATATAAGTAAAGCAAGAAAAATTGCTTAAGCAATTTAACAAATTCCTACAAAAACAGCTTGTGTTGATAGCAGCAGACATTTCAGGGCTTTGGATTTTCTTTTCATTTGTTTTATTTTTAGTTAATAATCCAGAGTGCACTTGAATGAATGCTTCAGGCTAATGAAGGTCATCACCTCCTGGTCTGTTTCTGATTGACTACACATGTACTTGTAGATCTACTCTTCAATATCCAAGCATCCAGAATAACAGCTGATGGACCCAAAGTAAAATTGCTGATTTTAAAGTAAAAATTAAGAAGAAAAAATTAATATCTGCCCTGCAGCTCAGAGTAAATACTTGACCTACAGATCCTAGCACTATCTGGTACAGAAAGATCTTATGCTGGATCCAGTCAGCAGTATTTTCAGTGATTGTCCAGAAAGTGTGAAATTGCATAAAAACTCTGTTTTAATATTACTAGAATTTTGATTAAAGCTTGATATCTAGGGATATACACGAATATACACAAAGCCAGCCAGTTTGTACTCAGCACCTTTCCAGAAACAAGCCCTGAAACGGCAAAGTCATTAGGCAACTCAATCCCAATGCACACATCAGGTTCCCTTCTACAGACAGGTCTCCTGTGTGGGGGCTGCAAGTAGTAGAACAATTCTTTCTCATTTGCTGTTGCTCTAGGTTAAACACAGCTCCAAGATCTTTGGCCTGGTAATTCATTAGAAGTTGCACCAGTACCACATGCTGGAAGATTTGAACGCTGCTTTAGAGTTGCTAAATAGGTGCACGTACTTGGCTATTACATAGCTAAATAAATTGTGTCCCTGGTTTGTGAGATAAACTGCAATGAAATTGGAGAAAAATTATTTGGGTTCTAAAAACACTCCATTATATAACCTCATAAGCCACTGAGAAAGATGTCATGGCTATGAAAAAGTAAAGTGAGCATAAGCATGTTGGGAGCTTCAGTGATGAATTTGGGCACACGATAAACATGTCAGAGCAAAAATAGGACTTCTGCAGTGCTGTACAACTATAGCAAAAAATATTATTTAATGATGTTCTAATGTTTTTCCCCTTGAAGGAAACTAGCTTGCTTAGAAAACAATACTAAAGCACAAAGGTGATAAAGCTTGTACTTCACTCACAGCAGACTTAAGTTCAAACTGTATGCTTTATGACTTGAAAATAAATTTGACAATCCAACTGAACAAAGCAGCTAAACACATCCCAATGTGTAGAACTGAGTCTTGACAGCTTCAGCATACAATTTCCAAACACAACTGGGCTTTGATCCTGAAATACAGTCATTGCACCTTACCTAGCTCTTTGGCATCTCTCTCTTCTGCCAAAACCCCCAGGGCAGCATCTGGACTCCATGCAGAAGGCAGATTTGAGCACCTCCACAATAATCAGTGCGCTGAGCAGAGGATTGCACACACAACACACAGCTGTCCATAGCAGAACCACAAGGAAATGCCTGGAGGGCCATTTAAATGCCACGCTCTGCTCTCAGGGTGCTGCAGAGATCCATCTCCACTGAGCAGCCACAGGGCCAAGAGCTGAGCAAAGCTCTTTCTGTTCTCGCAAACCACAGCCAGAGATCTGTAACCTTACTTTACCCAATAGCCCCAGGAAAAGAGCAGTCCCACAAGAAGCAGAAGCCCCAGGAACAGCCCCCATCTCCACCCAGGAGCAGGAAGTCAATCTTTGCTGTCCTGCAGGAACACCCCAGTCACAGGCTCCGCAGTCAGGGGCATTTCCACCCCCTCTTGGTACAGCTCCTCAGTATTGCAGCAAGATCAACTGAACCATGCAGGAAGCACCACAGTATTGCTAATGAGCTAGAGGATAATTCCTACTCCCCAAACGTAGTTACAGAAAATATTATTCTACAAAATGAAAGTACTGACAGAATGCACATATCATCACAAAGCCATCGTTCCAGTGGTAATTATTCGCCTGAACACATTTGCAATCCGAGCTGTCTATAGCAACTTGGCATACAATGCAAAATGAAGGTGAACAACACATTTTGACTTTGGAAAAAAATCATCAGCAGATTGTCGAACCACAAATAGATCAGCTTTGTTTATGACAACCTGAGAAAAATGTTAAC